GCTTGGCCTGCTGTGTTCATCCAGCTCTACACTCTGTATTTTGTTCCTGATTTGCAGCATCTGCAGTTCTTTTGGTTTTTACTCTACATTGGTATTCATCCAAGAGAAGGATATGGAGGATAGTCAGATTCATTGGGTCTCTTGAAGAGTATTAAGGTAGATAATTCCCAGACCCCGACAGTATCTAGCCCAGGTTACTGAGAAAGGCAAGAGCGGAGATTGCTGGAGGCTTGACCAAGATCTTTGTATCCTCTGGAACACCAGTGGGATCCCCAATATCAGGACTGATTGCAGAAGCAGTAATGAGAAGGTAAGAATGGATAGCGCTCCCCACTATCCAACCCAAACTCTGGGTCCAATATGTAGATGACACCTTCGTGATTATCAAACGCACAATACTAGAAGAAACCCACCAACACATAAACAACATCCTCACCGGAATAAAATTTACAAAGGAAGAGAACAATAACTGACTACACTTCTTGGACATAATGATAGAATGCAAAAACAACAGGGAACTTCAGACCAGCGTATGTAGAAAAACCACACGTAGAGACGAGATACTCAATTACACCAGCAACCACCCCAACGTCCACAAATGGAGCTGCATAAGGACACTATTTAAATGACCCACAACACATTGCAGCAACCCGGAACTACACAAAGCAGAACAGGAGCATCTATATGGATTCTTCAAAAAGAATGGATACCCGAAAGGCACAATCATCGTTACCTCCAAGACAGACCACAACAGGAAGACACAACACGACCAGACTCACTAATCACCATCAAGGGCATTTCAGAGATGACCACAAGACTACTCAGACTCCTAAGTATCAGAGTAGCCCACAAACCAACAACCTCCCTACAACAGCTACTGACAAACATGAAGGATCCCATACCCAAACCAGTAATACTGGTGCATAATACTCAGGCCAAACTGGAAGAAAACTGACAATAGGGTGACACGAACACCAACTAGCCACTAAGAGACATGATCAATTCTCACTTGTCTCACTATACACGGACAAAGAGGGACACAAATTCAACTGGGACAACACATCGATAATCATGCAAGCCAAACAGAGACATGCCAGGGAATTCCTGAAGGTCTGGTATTCTAAGCAGAACTATCAACAAACATATTGAATTATACCCTGTGTATAAACCACTGAGAAACAGAACCGGAAGTAATACCAAACAGTCCAGCAAACCAAGGCATATAAATAACAAGCGGGACAGAACACTTACGCTTCACTGGAGGCGCACTGACGATGTTACCTAGCAGGGTGACGAAACGTTTACAACCAAACCCACCGGCCTAGCGAGCAAGTCTACAATCTCATCCGCAACCTGAGCTACAAATCTTCTCAAAAATCTTTGTATTCTCACCAGCCACTGGAGGACTGGCAAGTAGTTAATATTCCTCTGTTCAAGAAGGGAAAAGGGATAATCCAGGAAAACATAGACTGGTGAGTCTCACATTGGTGTTTGGAAAGCTATTGGTGAGAATTCTTAGGGATTTATGTGCATTTGGGAAAATATGGCCTAATTATTGTCAGTCAGCATGGCTATGTGTGGGACAGGTCGTGTCTTACTAACTTGATTGAATTTTTTGACGAGATGACAAAGGTGATAGATGTGGGTAGAACAGTAGATGGTGTCTTCATGGATTTTAGTAAGGCTTTCGACAAGGTCCCTCATGGTAGGCTCATAGGTGAGGGGGAGGTGATAGCCTAGTGGTATTATTGCTAGACTATTAATCCAGAGACCCAGATAATATTCTGGGGATCTAGGTTCAAATCCTGCCATGACAGATGGTGGAATTTGAATTCAATAAAATATCTGGAATTAAGAATCTAATGATGACCACGAATCCGTTGTTGATTGTCAGAAAAACCAATCTGGTTCATTAATGCCCTTCAGGAAAGGAAACTGCTATCCTTACCTGGTCTGACCTACATGTGACTCCAGGTCCACAACAATGAGGCTGACTCTCAAATGCTCTCTGGGAAATTAGAGATGGGCAATGAATGCTACCTAGCCAGCGACGCCCTCATCCCATTAATGAATAAAGAATCCAGAAGATTAAGATGAATGCAATCCACGGTGACTTGGCCACATGGATTCAGAATTGGCTTGACCATAGAAAGCAGGGGTAGTGGTGGAAGGGTGTTTTTCAGGCTGGAAGTCCATGACTAGTGGTGTTCCACATGGATCTGTACTGAGATCTTTGCTGTTTGTGATATATGTAAATAACTAGATGAAAATGTAGATGGGTGGGTTAGTAAGTTTGCAGATGATACAAAGATCAGTGGAGTTGTGGATAGTGTGGAATGTTGTTAGGTCAGTTGCTGATATGGCCAGAGAAATGGCAGATGGAGTTTAATCTGGATAAGTGTGAGGTGCTGTACTTTGGGAGATCACATGTTCAGGCAAAGCATACAGTTAATGGCAGGACCCTGAACACTATTGATGTACAGAGGGATCATGGAGTTCAAGTCGTCAGCTCCCTGAAAGTGGCCACACAACTAGATAGAGTGGTAAAGAAGGCATATGGCATGCTTGCCTTTATTAATCAGTGAATTGTGTACAAGAGTCAGGATGTTATGTTGCAGCTTTATAAGACTTTTGTCAGGCCACACTTAGAGCATTGCATTCAATTCTGGTCGCCACATTACAGGAAGTATGTGGAG